CCCACCGTCGATGAGGACCTTCTTGAACTGTACGTTGCGGATGGTTGGATCCAACATGAGTGGGAAACACCTAGGGTATGGGATATCTGCCCACTAGTCGGCCCTACTAAACGTGATAGGATGCTCCGACCAGTCTAGATATTTGGGATTGGCGACCGTGTCGTACTTGGTGATCAACATGACCTGCCAAGCGGTGAGCTTCTGCTGGTGTTTGCTCTCGGAGGCGGCGCATCCTCCAAAAATTGTGGTGACGGTCTTGTTGGCATCTTGGGCAGTAGGACCTATGCCCTTAGGATGCTCCTCCCCTTTGTCGTCATTTGACTTGTCGTCCTTGCATGTTCACCATTTTTGCTCCTCATCGCGGAAAGCTTTGGCCATGCCATAGCATTTTCTCATGGTGTGCTTGTTGTTCTTGTGAATTAGGCATGGACCATCAAGGAGTTCTTCATAGGCAGCATTGAAATTTCACTTAGCGTGTGGCTGCTCTATGTTGTCGATGGAGTTTCTCAGTCGGCGGCGACATGGCTGTGCAGCCCTTGATCCCTCTGGCTGATCAGCTTCTTCAAAGTCTGCATATGAGTTTGCAACCTTGAGGAGTTTGTTGATGGTCTGGGACCTCTTGCAGTAAATTTTGGAGCACAGCTCCTGACGGTGATGGAGTCCTCTGGTGAAAGTGAAGATGGCCTCACTGTCTAGCCAATTCGCCGGTGGCCACATCCAATTCTAGATGTCGTTGACTTGGGCCTAAGCTGCTTTGAGAAGCGCTTGAATCTTGAGTATCTCTGGTGTTTGTGGGAGTCTAGCCAACTCATGGGTGGCCACAACCAGATTGGCGCTCGGCGTCTGCTCCACTCGCTGATTGTCCACCATGAGAAACTCTTGTTGGAGATTATGGGTGAGAGACGGCGGGCCACCTCTGGTGGCTTGGGCAACATTTTTTCTTCTTCTTTGCGATGTCGTTGGCGATCAGTGTTCTTGGCTTCATGATCACGGTGCTGAACACTGGTCTCTCCATCGATAGCAATGCTGTTGTGGCCAACCGTGAAAAACTCTCTCCCCAAACCTAGAGGGAAAGATGGGCAGCTGTTGGTAGAGGCCTCAGAGTATGGCTCAGGACTTTCCTCCAGGATGGTGTGGAGCATTTCATTTAGAAGATCTGCTCAGATTTGCACCATGTTTACCATTGGGGCAGGCTGGTCAGCTTGAAGGAAGTTGATCTGATAGAATTCATTGACGCGGCTGCGCTTGGCGTGGTCGGCGAAAAGATGGTGCATGACATGCTGACAGATCGGACCCGCACCCACCAACCCAAAAGAATAGGGCTTCGGCATGCTCTCCATCGGGGCGGGGAGTGGTCAGAGTTGAAAGGTACGCCCTTCTGGTGTTGCTATGATCACCAGATCAGAATCTAGCCGCCTTGAATGAAGTGGCCGAGCAGGTTGCTCGGCTGTAGCAGCTTGGTGATCTTGGGGTACGAGAAATTCGTCGCTCGCTCTGGATTGATCTAAGACCGAACCCACGAGGAGCTAACATTCTGCTAAGCGGTCTGTGACTTGATCGATGGATGCGATCAGATCATCATTGTTGATGGATCTCCTAACCTAGCGGCGGGACGTTAGGATCGAAGATGTCATTGCGAGTGTTAGCGCAATCGGCGCAGGGTGATCCTACACCGCTTCCACGATCTCCCCATTGCCGTCGGGGCCGATAATCCAAGTCATGGATCCGACTATGAATATCTGGCCTAGCTCGGGAAAGGCCATGGAGGTCAGGAAAGTGACCATCTGGTTGGCCATGGAATCATCACGCACACCCCCTACCTGGCGCGCCACTGTCGATGAAATCTGGTCGGCAATCTATCGTGGGTTATACCCATGGTAGTAGATGATCGGTGGAGGTGCACATAATAGGAACCGGATGGTGACACAAGGTGTAGAGACAACGATTTAGACAGGTTTGGGTCATCTGATCGACGTAATACCCTACGTCCTATGTCTTTGTTGGATTGTATTGAATATGAGATGAATTCGAGGGGGTCCCTACCCGCCTTATATAGTCTGGGGGGGGGGGGTAGGGTTACAAGTCAGTTTGGGCCTAGATCTACTTGGTTATATAGTAAGTGTTTACAAGGAATACGATATCTATCATATCCAAAAAGATCTTTCTTCATCGCCAAGATGTCTTCTGATTGCCTTACGGTGCACGCCAACCAGAACTGGGCACCGTAGGCCTTGATCTTATGGGCTGGACCTCCCCTGGCCATGGGAACCTGGGGTTATACCCCCCACAGAAATTATGAAGCAACCTCATGTGGGCATCATGAGGGACGCATGTCCTTCTCTGATCGAGGGTACCATGACACTCAGGACACCTTCCATCGCATCAACAATAGGCTCACAAACATTGAGGAGACAACTGCTGCCATCCAAGGTACATTACTTGATCACACACAATGGCAGGCAATAATAGGACACGAGGTGGCCAACCTCCAATGACAACATCAACAACAAAATCAAAATTGGGAGGTTCTGTTCCAGTACTACCACATCCGGCCACCACACTAAGCAACCACTCAACAACCAACTTGGGGGAAGGTTATTCCCCGTCTATCCAGATAAGTATTTCTTTTCTTTTCTTTTTATTACTTTTAGTTTGTTTTATATATATCTAAAAAAAGATGAATAACTAAAAGCAAAAGTAGTTATAGTTATAATAATATAAGGTGTGATCTAAAAATGAAAATAAAATAAAAGAGTGTGTCTAGTTATCTTTAAGTTTGATTTTTAAGAGCTGAATACAATAAAATGGACTCTGAAAACAATATCTTAAAATAGAAATGTTGAATAGTTGCTCTGTTGTAATTCCTTTCAAGTACCTAGTTTTCAGCCTTGAATTCTGCCGAGTTTTGAATTCTCCTATGTTTTCAGCAGGATTTATTCAGAAAAAGAGCAAGGTGGACCCAATCGTCCGATCAAATCACGTTTATCCGCGATGAAACCGACTTAGGAAGACTCTAGAAACATCTAGAAGACAACACACCACCACTCGACCCAAAACATGGCAGGGTGGGGCTAGTCAGCCCCACCTATAGGTCGATCGGCCTGTGGGCCCCATGTGTCAGTCCCTTCTTGTTATGTCGGTTCTTCACCGCCTTAAAGATTCAATCTACGCCGTTGCTCAAGGTCGGTTTGATTTGAGGGCTCAGATTTGACATTGCCATGGATTCATGGGCCCATAGGACTCCTGGTTCCATCTATAAATAGCCTCCCATACCTCCTCCTCTAGGCATCTTCATCTTCAATCAAGAGCTACCATAGTTATTCAAGAAGATTAAGTAGAGAGAATAGAATAGATCTCCAATTCCTCAAAGCTTTAGTATAGTCTAGCTAGTAAGATTCAAGTAGAGTTGGGCTACTGCTCAAGATTCTAGATTCGTCATCTGGATGCTGGTATAGCCATTGTATCCTCTATATTTCATCACTTTGTTCTTAATATATATTATGTTTCTATCTATCTTGTTCTTAGTTTGCTTTGGTAGTATGCTTGATATAGTCATAGTTAATGCTAAGTTTATGCATAGGTTTGTAAAGCGCTTAGCTCAATACTCAAGTGGGTTAAGTGGTCGACATTGTGTAAGCATGGTGCTTATATGTTGTTTACCTGCAGATGCAGCCTACATTTTGGATCGTGTGGTAGATCGTGAGAGTGACAGTCTCGTTGAGTCCTTTATAGTCCATCTCCCATTTGTAGGCCAAGTAGGACGCGGTTACGATGGAAGTCAAGCTTTGTTCTTGATCTTCCTTAGTAATGTCCCTTATGTGTAGATGAAGGGTTAATTATTCTATAGATGAAAGTATATATGCTTTGGTGTACAAAAGACTTGGTAAATAGGAATGACTTAGGAATCTGTCTCTTGTTTTATTACTTAGTCTAGCTATACTACATTTATGAGTATCTGTTTCTACCTCTGGATTATTATCATTGCCATACACTTATTATTTATATATCTATTGGCTTACCCCTGCTTAGAGTAAGTGTTTAGTTAATGATCTCATCATAAGTATCATGTTTATCAATATCTCTAGCCACCGCTCCTCCCTATGGTAAAATATAAATAACGATACCTAGAATACTCTCGGGTGAAGTGCTACAATGGTATATCTGTGCGGTTGCAGAATTCTTCATATATAAATATTCTAAGTCACAATGAAATACCAAGGGTACTTCTTAGTGTCATTACGAGTAGTGATGCTAGGAAGTACCAACAATAGACATTATTGGCGAAGAGGGGAAAATGTGGCCTCAGAAATGTTAGTGTATATAGCACAACAATGACTCATAGGTGGCACTACTTCAAAACCCAAGTTAAGTGAACTAGAATATTAAATAAGCACTGGACAACCAAATTGACGAAGGTAGAAGCAAAGGGCACATATAAGGCATGCTTATTTGCCTAGACAGAAGAACAACAAACCACCAAACAGGACTAGTTGCACATAAGCAAGAGTAAGTAGAATTAACATAGGCAAAAAACAAAACATCAGTAGAATAATAATCAGTGCCACCTCATCCTTATGGTTTCATCATCATAGGCACAATCGGATCATCCACAACTTGCAAAAAAGGCTCCAAAGCAACATAACATATTCAAGTTTGTGAAGAGTAGGCAGATAGAAACAACTATATAAAGAGTACGCAGATTGTAACACATAGCAATATCTGTAGCAACATAACCAGATTCAAGTATGTGAAGAGTAAACAAAGACTGAATAAATAGATATATGAACCATGAGTTTGCATCTGGTAGTTTAATGAGGTTTAGTGGCACATACATTGCCTTAATTGTTCAAGTACTAGTGCACACAGCTGCCACAACCACAAACCATGTGGTTGAATATTACATGTACCATATAGTTAGCTGCCCCCAAATGAGTAACCAAAAACCCCAAAAGGATAGGTGCTAGTCAGCCAAGCTACCTTGCTACCCAAAAGAGCCTATGTCACTACACAAAAAAATTAGGGATGGAGAGTGGTCAAGGAGGGTGGAGAACATATATTTCTCCACTTCTTCCCTCCACTTACTTGCTGTAGACAAGTAGCCTTGATGTAGTAGTTCTTGGCTACAAAAGTCCTAAACCAGAGAACCCTATGGCTATCCACCATGCTCACAAACCCCTTACCTTGGGAGTTATTATCCAGTAGGTGGCTAAAGGAAACAATGATGGCCTCCTTTGAGAATCGAGGCATATCCATGATAGCATGGTATAGATCAGCATCCACCCGAGCAAGCCCAATCTCCCTCAAAGCATTTGCCAAATTATTGAAAACATCAGTCATGTTGTTCATGAGCAACATCTCATCCTCAGTAAAGTAGGACCTCTTCCTATTACCACCCACATTTGAGGTTAGCAGCTCTATTGCCTTGCTTCTCTCCCCATGCTCAGCCTTCTCATCCACTTGCTGGCCCACAAAAGTGTCCACCATCTTGCCTGCTGCACTATCAATTGTGTTGCTGTTTACCCCAAGTGCTTCATTGGAGCCTAAAGCAAACCTTTCTATAGCCATGGAGCCACCAAAGATGGCCTCCATCTGGTCATAGAACCTAATAGGGGTGTTGAGGAATTCACCATCTTTGGGGTGATCCTACAACAACACAAACAAAGAAAAGTTAGTGCTACATTTAATAAGAAATGAAAACAAAAAGGAGATTGAACTATTAGAATGAAAACAAAGATAAGTTAGTACCTTCAAATGGCCATTATAGTGGTCTTGGTCTAATATGATGGCCTTGATGTCATCATCCCAAAGTGCCCTACTAAGGCCCTTCAACTTGCAGATTCTTCTCCACATCTACCTCCACTTCCTAAGGTGGTTGTATACCTAGGTGGAGGTCACCTTCTCACCAGAGTACTCCCTAAGGGCCTTAGCTACCTAGTTAACATCCTTATCAACCCTTTGTCTGCCCTTGCCCCAGTTTGGATGAGTTAACTCATCCTACATAGCACAAACCCATTAATGTTGTTTATCACCTCAGCAGCAACCCCACCGCCACTAGCAGCAGGGCCACGGTAGTAGCAGCATGGGCATTGACATCAGCCAAAGTAGGTGGAGCCTCAGCAGTTGGGCCAGTAGCAGCAACATGCAGACCAACCGCACCCATCAGTGAGGCAGCAACCACAATCTCTCCCTAGTAGCATCAGGAGACAGTCATAGAAGGCATCCTATTTAGTGCATCAAGGTAGCATTTAACCAACATCTATATTAACATGACCATCAAATCATTCATGAAATAAACAGGTGGAAATCAAGAGAAAAAGGCAAATGAAAAGGTAGTCTCAGCATTATCCAGTACAAATTAACTCACAGACACAACTTAGTAGTTCCATACAAAGGCAACCTGGCTGCATTTAATTTATTGCAACATGTGAAAACCATGATCAAGTCCTAGAAGTATCCATATTTGCCCACAGGCTAGATGAGATAGCATCCCTCCTATCTGCCATCCCACTGCTTTCCTAGGACTACAACTCATTCTACATCATAGAGTTGTAAATTAACTACACGTTCTTTTGCCTATGCTCATCTTATATCGTCCTAGGAGTATACACTATAGGTTCAACATCTCCCCTCATCCTTTTCACTCTAGAAAATAGGAAAGCAACCATAACCACAACCATTGCAGCAACTTGGGAGGCCTTAAATGAACACTGGTTCATCGGATCCATCTACATGCAGTTATTAAAAACAACTTTTAGTAACCAGGCATGCCTTTGCTAGCCTCTAAATTAAAGCAGCTGCATTAGTATAGAAATGTGGAAAACATGGACATTGATTGTTAGCCACGGCTGCTGCTGCTAAGAAAGAACCTAGAGGCGAGAAACCACGTCATCGACTACAAACAACAAGGCAATTGAAGAAATAAGACCAATTTCAAGGCCAGCATGTACAGTAAACCCTAGCCAAATAATAAATGCATCCCAAAGATGAAATCGACATGAACAACAACACTAGAAGACTAGAAACAATACAGTATATCCATAGGGGTATGGTGACCATGGATTCCCACGCGGTCACCCCAAATCTAAAGATTTGGACCCAACCATAAACCAAAAACAATAGATCCACATAAGAAAAGGGCACCAGAGGGGATATCACCTTGCTACGAGTAATGAACAAGTAGAGGAAACAATAGGCGAGGTGGATGGTCCAGGCAAAAATGCACAACCAAAGCAGATTCAGAGAAAAGGAAGAAGATCAGCCACATAGAAAGAAGATGAGGGTCATGGGACACCAAACACCACCACGAGCAGGCGAAGAAGATGAAGTGGTCAGCGGACCAGTCCAAGAAGAAGCTGACGTAGCAATCCCAGCTGCAGCAGAGAGACGGGAGTGGGAAAACTCCTAGACTGCAAGGGCCGAGAGAGTCTACTACCACACCATCTAGATTAGGGCCAGTGATGAACGCGAGTAGAGTGAGCGAGGGATGAGACGCGATGAAGAGGAAAGGAATGGATAAATGGAGGAGTGAGGTGAAACTCTAGCGGCATCGATGCGTGGAGATTTCAGCCCGTGAGTTTGTTTCCCATGGCCAGGCCTTGGGGTGCTTTAATCCCCACGTGGGGTTGGCTCGCGGGCTGATCCAGGTAAACAAACAGGCTTGGTTGCACCATTGGGGCCTAGCCGGACCCTTGGTCTAGGCAAACATACATGCCCCATGTTTCTTCTCTAGCTAGCTTATGTCTAACATTATAAGTATGCTAGATTCAATTCATACATAGGTATCTTTTGTTATTAATAATAGAAGTAACTTCGATCCATACATATATATCATTTGTTATTAATAATCGAATACTTCTAACGTTATGGCCTATATCCACCTAAGTTTTTGACCCTTAGATGTGTTAAGTGACGGATGGATGTATAGCAGAATGGTAGAATATTTGGTAGACATACCTTCATACCTATTGTTTTCAACAATATCATAAAGATTAATTCTAAGTGTTCACCAAAAACTGATATAGAGGCGGACACCTTAAGATGTTCGTCTTTAGAAACATTTACATTAATAATAATTCATAACTTTTACATATGAACTTGGATGAAAATGAACTTTATATCAAAAGTGTAGCCCTTGACATGACCTACAGCTTTGTTGTTGAGAAGTTTTTGATTTGAAACTATTTAGAGTCCCAAAATGTTACATTAAATGTCAGGTTCATAAACCCGGGGTCCCTTGCGGACCGGCTTCCCAACAAAGGCTCGGCCCAAGCAGACAAACACGCAACTCGTGGGCCGGCCCAAGTATCTGAACGATAGGCCAGAAGGACAATCCAATCACCGACCGGAAGGTCTAGCCAAGAAGGAACGACACCTGCCTTCCGACTTCGGCCCACCTCTCCGACCGGAGCGCTCGCTTCGGTCTCCAGCACGCCTCCGGACGGTCTCTCCGACCAGAAGGCCTAGCAAAGCACTACCTCCGACTCCAACCCCACATCTCCGACCGGGGTATGCAAAGACCCTGCTCACTGCTCTTCTCTGACTGGTGCAACTAGAGCCGACTGGGACCAACCGACCAGGGAGGCCCGCTCAGAAAAGACCAGGGAACGGACGGAGAAAGCAAGGCAAGACGCACAAGTCAAACCACGATACCAGGGACCGTACCCTGTACACCTACAGGAACAGTACTCTGCAACCGCCCTGACACAAACAGTGTTGTAGGCGCCGACGTTTTCCCTACAGTATTGTGGGTGACATTAACTCCCAAATGGTAAGGCCCCCCACATGCCTCTGGGCATCGACAGTGTTGTGGGCACCGGTATTTACCGTACCGAGTGAACATGGTGAAACTCCTCACATGCCTCTGGGTATCAACAGTATAGCAGGTACCAACATCTGCCATACCCACACAAAATGAAGCAGCCTCCCACATACATCCGACAACCAACAGTATTGTGGGCGCCTACCATCATCCCGCACCCGCCGGCGTGGGCAACAAGGCTTAAAAGCATACGTACTCTCTCCCTCTCAGTTGTAAGGCTATCCCCTTCATCTATAAAAGGGGATGCGCTCTCTCCTAGGAGACTAAGTTAATCCAGGTCGATTCAAGTGATTCTAGATTCATTAGATCGATTAATTTCACTAGCTCACAACCACAGAACCGCCAGGTTCGGACCTCAAGCACACGCTTGAACACTTAGCTCATAGCGGAGCTCCTGTCGCTCTCGGCCCTTCCGACCGGACCTCTTGTACACCCTATCTTTCTCCTTCTCGTTTGTAACCCCAATGCAAACTTCGAGCACCTGGGCTTAGGAATAAAGTCATCGACCGACTCAAATTGGACGCAGGTCACGTTGCCTGAACCAGTATAAACCCTGTGTCATTGAGTGCTAGGCCACCTCCGATCACAACGTATGACAAAACTACAAATATTTACTTGTTGGTCACTTTCTGCACCGACAGTTGGCGCCGTCCGTGGGGAAGACGCTGTATGTTCAACACTTTTTGGTCATCGATGGCCCACTTTTCCGCCACCTTCGCCATGGCGGGGTCTGGCGATTCGATTCGCTTTGGCTCACTGGAGTTTCCCGCACTCCCACCTATTGGGATGTGGGTTCCACCCATCTTCGAGCCATCCTAGGCCTTCCTCCTCGGAAGCCTGGACTTTGTCGCCGACCAGCTCGGCGTACTACACCTCTGTGAGGAGGCAATCGTTCCGGCACCCGTTGGAGGGGCGCCCTCCATTGACTTCGGGACGCACGACTTCGACGACACGGCATCCGCGCTTCATTCTCTATCTTACACCAATTACCCGAAGGGACCCCGTTGTCCCCGACGTGATCGCCATATGACCGGTTCCCCTACGGCCTCACATCTCCCGCGGACGCGTACGCCCGGGGGCTCCGAAGGATGCCGGCATCGCCCCCTCTCATGTCCGAATTCATGGGGATGGCGAGCTATGCTCCCACCTATTTCCTTGACCTCATGGATGATGATGTTGAGAGTGATGGCTTCAGCATCGGCGATGTGGTGCCTTGCCACCGTTTGTCCTGGGAGTGCCCTATGGCGGACACTCCGGGACAGCCACCGGCGGTAACACAGTCCTTGCAGACTCACACTCCTTTGGATCCTCATGCGGAGACCCCCGAGCTTGCATAGGAGCACGGCGAGGAACCACGACAACAATGCCCGCACCAGCCACCGACTGTGCTAGCGCGCTTGATGCACCACGCTGCACCCCGTGTGCATAGACCGGCGGGTGGCGCCCGGGGTCACGCCCGTCGGGTCCAGCGCAACACCATGGATAGGGGGAACGATCCCCCACAGTTCGCTCTGGGCCAATCAGAACATCACCGACGCGGCAATGCTTCTGCGCGGCCTCCCCGAGCCGAACAACCCTAAGGACAAGCGATCCACTGAAACCTCCAGGCACTAGTGGAGACCACCGCTGTTCAACAGGCGGAGAGCTCTGTATCACGCATCGACTCACGGCCTCTCTCCCCACCAGGGGAATGGGGACGCAGCAGATGAGTCGCTCCACCCGCTCACCGCTACAACTGTCGAGTGCGGCACAAGTGGTCGCACCGGCGTCTTGTCTTGACCTAACGAATGCTCTACACCGACCGCCTGCATACGCGCGGCTCGGGCCGAACCGAGACGCACGCAACGGCGACTGGAGTCTCAGCCCTGATGGCCCGGGACCACTAAACTTTGTCCAACGCCTCCAGTGAGCGCCGCTCCTGCCATGCTCCTACAGAGGCCAAGGCAAAGGCAAGGCCAAGTGCCAGGATCAGGATGAGGGCCCCTCCACGCAGAAGGGAAAAAAGAACAGAAAAGATCGCCGCCGACCGGCC